CGACGACGACGACTACTACTACTACTACTACGACGACTTACGACTACTACTACTGTTACTACTACTACTACTACTACTACCACTACTACTACTACTACTACTACCACCACCACTACGACGACGACTACGACTACGACTACGACTACGACTACGACGACGACTACGACGACTACGACGACGACGACGACTACTACTACTACTCCTGCTGCTGCTGCTGCTACATCTACAGCAAATCCTACTACTGGATCACTCTAGCTCTAGCTCTGAAGCAGGCTCGACAGCCCAGCGGTCGGCTCATTTCCTTCCGCGGAGGTTTACTCCCTGGCGGTGGAGCGACTCCCAGTTGCAGATCCGGGGCTTAGGGTTCCGACTTGCAGACTGCGGGCTTAGGGTTTAGGGATTAGGGGTTAGGGGTTTAGGGGTTCAGGGGTTTAGGGTTTAGGGTTCGTATACAGAAGTATGCCTCGAAATCCTAAACCCGGCTTGCCCGAAAACTATTGGAGCGCGGAAGGAGCGTTGCCTCACCACTTAAACCAGTGCAGGTTAACACTAATTAACCCTAGCCCCCCAGGTACCTACTATATAGGGCCCTGGGGCCTCTAGTACCCTATATAGTAGGTACCTGGGGGGTTAGGGTAACTTCCGCCAAGGACTGCGCCTCTACGAGGCTGAGAAGCTCTTCTTCGCTGGCTTCTTCCGGGCGCTAGCAGCTTGCACCTTGGCTCATAGCAGAAGCAGTGTGCTAGTAAGATTCGGCAAGACTCCTTATGCACTTGTTCATGTCGTGACGTGTAAGGGTTTCGGACACAAGAAGAATATCTAGGCATACTGCCAGCAAGAAGTTCGCAGGATGAAAAAGTGAGCATTGCAACGTCAATGAATGTAGCAATAACACGAGTACTTGCGAACACCTTGTTCCCAAGCCGCTTCTGTTGGATCTAGGAATCTAGGGTTGCAGGTTGGAGGGGGGTGTTTAGGGCTTCAATTGGGACAGAGTTGCTGAAAGGGTGCAGTGAGTAGGACCCCAGGAACTTCTGCATGGTTTAGAGGTGTTAAGTCTGCACGAGGTGTTCGTCTGCACGTCGTCAGAAATCCAGGGTCCAACTCCCATAATTAAGCTTTTCTCCTGGCCCTGTGTTGTAGGGCGTTCCGGGCTTTCAAGGTTCGGATTTCTGGAAGGCCAGGGCCCTGCCCTTCCATCAACCTGTCTGCTGCTGCTGTTGTTTGATGAACGTTTAGGGCCAAGATTCAAACCGAGCAGACGCTGTCGAGCGCTAAACCAGCCCTCCTAGACCCTCCATCTACCGCCTATTGTAGACCCTAAGTACCCACTATCTGTGACCAGCTTAGGCGAGGCTCTTCCATGCAGACGATACGACCCTGCTCGACCGGTGCGCAGCCACTGTGGAGGTGACTTGTTCTCCGCTAGTGGAATCGAGGTAGATAGCTAGCTGATACACAGAAAGACCGAAAACCTCGGCCACGAAATGAGCTGTAAGGCTACAGACAAAAACTGAATGATGGGCTTTCTGCGGACCAGCTGCGCTTCTCCGTGCTTCCAAACCCGAGAGAACAGCTAAAGCAGACACCTTGCTGACACTTGTGCAGAATCCTCTTTGGATCCCTCACATTCAACCCTTCTCCCATAGAGGCCAATGCCCCTCTCTTCAGGAACAAGCGTAATTTCTAGCATTCCTACTATGCTCCGCAAGTTCTTTATAGTTAGCCGTGATCCCAAGCGTCCCCGAAATTCAGGCTATTACTTTGTAGCACCCGAGCCTTTGCAACCCGAACCCAGAGGCTGTGGCACTCGGTAGCCCTGAGACCACAAACTTAACGCCTTAATCACAAAGCAACCCTCAGGGTCCATGTACCCGAATAGTATATAGTTTGGCCCCAAAGTACCTATATAGGGACTACGCTAAGGCCCAAAAGTATATATGATTTGGGTACATGGACCCTTAGGGCAAAAAACCCTGCAGCCCGAAACCCGAAGTTCCTAAAGCCTACAATATCAATAGACTATAGAGCCCCTAAACTCCTAAACCCGCCTCTTAAACTGCCATCACTCCTGATTCCTCTACACCCAAGGAGTTGGACAGGGAAGATCCGGAGGCCTCGGCTCTTCGATGGGTTCTATGGGGGTGCTATGGGATTTAGGGTTCTATGGATTGAGGGTTTAGGGTTTATGGTTTAGGGTGTTATGGATTTAATTTAGGGTTCTATGGAGTTGTATCAATGTGCTTTTTTTTTGATTCTGGTTCTCTATGGGACTTAGAGGGTTTAGGGTTTGCAGGTTGTAGGCTCCTACAATCATTGACGCAACTACGACCACTTCCACGACATGGATGCCAACCACAGCAACGACAATGTCGAGCAGGACTGATCTTGGCACGGGTCGGAGATGGGTTTCCAGACATGATTTAGCCTTGTCTCGGGCACCAGGACCCTCCTTGTACCCTCAAATAGGGGTATATGGTTCCAAACAAGGGGTACTTAGGGTCTAATAGAGTGTAGATGGAGGGTCTAGGCATGTGGACTTGCAAGAGGAGCAACTGACCAGGAGCTTTCCATCTAGTGGATGTTCACAAAGCTATAGTGTGATCGTTCTGCATCATGTGGTATTTAGGCGGAAGGTGAAAGCTGAACAAGTATTTTTTAAGATGCACCAACTCTTCAAGGGTGCGTAAAGTGTTTCACAGAGTGATTTTGAATAACCATGTTTTGGAACTCCTGATTCCACGGCTTTTCGGTAGGAAGTATAGCTGCACATTTGAGTCCGTAATTCCCAAGCCACGCGTCACGATTTCGCAGCATGTGGGTCCTTCGTAACCCGCACAAGACGAAGCCGAGAGCTTAAGGTGTTGAGGGCTTGGAGCCACTTTGCCCCTCTTGGCGACAAGGTTGACTTTGCCTTCATCTGTCTGCTCGAAGCACGGACATTTCGCGTTCGCAAAGATCTCCCGGTTAGTCAGGGCCGAGGCTGTTTAGGCAGTTTTAACGCACTTTCCTTCATCGTTTCGGCTGGACTAGCGCCGCTACTTACCTCAAACAGCCAAACTTGGCGCAATTAGCTGTGGACACTGTTGCGAATCGTGTGGCAATGCCAATCACAACAAACTTGGTGTATTGAAGGGGTTTGTCATCAAGCACATTTGACACCATGTCCACAGCTGGCGATGTCGTTGCGGGGGATTTGGTCTCAGGCATTCCAATGGGCAGGCACGTTGGCTCTGATTCCACTTGAATTAATTGGGTTTGTAAGGCAATGTAAGTTTTTCAGACTTCGAACTTCGAAGGACACATTCTCTTTGGTGTCGGGCCTTGTGAAGTTTCGAAGAACATCGGAGGGTGTTCATTTCTCGTCTTCTCTCGCCTGAGCACCAGCGGGCAGGCTTTGCGCAGTGACATCGGCGAGCAACCGTGTCTTTGGGGACGCTTCTGCTTAATCTGCTTAATGGGAATGTTCACAAACACGTTTGTTGTGGGAGCTCTGCGGAAGATCTAGGCTAATTCCGGTCCCCGGCTGAACAGGTGCAGCAACAGTAGTTGCATGGGCACTTCCACCACCCAAGGAATCAAGATCTTTGTTTTCGGAGAAAAGCAATCTTACGTCTTACGTAAGAGAGGAGCACTGCTCGCAGTAGTACTACAACAGCACGTGATGTATCGTTTGTGTGATGGATGCAGCTGGACTTCTGCCTCCCTCTTTTCTGGCCGTTCGGGCCACAGTCAAGCGGCAAGGCCTCGAAAAAAATAACCAGAAGCACAACCGATGTCATGTTATAGGTCGTTTCCCGCTCGCTGTCGAGACATAATGAGTGACAGTTGCCTTCCTTCCGCATTCCTTGCTTCGTTTTGCCTTGCTAACAACGGTTCACCCGTTTCCTGCCATCTGACGATCACTTGATAACTTGATAACTGACCCCTGCCGATCCGGGTGCCGCACTAAGCAGGTGACTAGCGGCTCGTTTTCAGCACCAAGCCACATACAGGTGGTGGCCCCCCACCCAGCAGCCCCGGGTCATCCGGATGGGGAAGTTCCCCGACCCAGCGGGCAGCACTGGAAACTCATTGAACTTGAACCATAAAGCTGCACAGAGTGCCGTAGTATTACGTATTGCTCTCTTCATGTGTCCTTGCCTTCAGAAAGCCGTGCGAGCACAAGGTCGTCACGCAGATGGAGGCGGTTTCAAAAGAAGAGTCTGAACACCATGGCCTTGATGCTGCTGGGTTCTTGGTCAAAGGCTGGATCCTGGAGCTGGCAGAAGGTCACCGGCCCGCTTCAATCCATGTAATGTGTAGATTTCAATGACCATTGTTTGGGTTGCGCAGCTGCGGCGCCAAGGTAGGGATGGCACCTTCCGCTGGGCAGACTTCATCCCATCCTGCAAGCATTGTAAGGAAAGGCTCCGCCCCATTCTGCCATCCGGCGAAGTGGCAACATGCCCGGGGTGCAACGCGGTAAGATTCAGCCATTGCATTCTGGTGTGGTATAAGATGTTCTCTACAGCTTCTATACAAGTATATACGTGATAGAGAAGCCAAGAAGTAGTTGTTGTTCATGTGATGAAATACGAGCGCAGTGCTTAGCTTCAACAGATTCTAGGCAATCGCAGCAAGGGCGAGGGCCGCTGCATGAGATTCAGTTGCCCCAGCGACGCTGAGACTCCATTTTATGACGAGGGCTGTGCAACGCCTGCCAGTCAAGCATATTGTGGGAGTCATCCCTACTTTGGAGGTTATGACTTTGACCCTGACGATCCTGACCTTGATGAGCGATGCTGCAAACCAGGTGGCGTCCCACTATTTCAGGTGGCCGTTGCAGCAAACCGATGCTTCGATGTCAGCTTGGTGGCTGTACGCTCCGAAGACCTGCACCTCGATGTTGGAGTGTTTTTTACCAAGTACAGTCCGGCTGATGATGATGAGGATACAGATATGTCTGATGTGACATCGTTTCGAATTACTTGCCACACAGGAGAGAAGTCGGTGATATCTTGCGAGGAGATTTCGGGACAGCTGGGGTTCGTGACGGGAGCAACGATGCTCGGGACAGACGCCTTCGGGTTGGGCCGTTCAAGGCTTGTGCTTGTGCACCAGAAGGGTAGGCTGCCTTGTCTCCTTCGCAATGCAAAATTATACACATGTGAGTGGGCTGGCCGAGCTGATATCGCCTGCCCTGACGAGTGCAAAGACGTTAGATTCCCACAGCAAATCGTCCATTTGGGATCTTCCAGCTTGGCCACCTTGTCACAACGCACTCTGTGGGTCGTGGAATTCCCGGAAGGAGCAGTGCATATAGCTGTGGAAGAGGTTGCCAGACAGGTGACATGGCGCAAGGTGCTAGATCTTGGAGACTTGGCGGGGAAGAACCCATGCTTGCTCGCTCATGGTCCCCGGGATGGACAACTGATGATCTTCATCGTAAACCAAGGCTGCTTGCCGTGTACGCAGCGCAGTCTCATGACCAAGTGTAAGCAGTCCAACCGAGCGAGCTCCATTTCCATGACACGCCAAGGTTGATTCACTTCGAGTTCCGGGATCGCAATTCCGCCAAGTAGTAGGACATAGCCAGACTATTGTCATCTGGTTACCGCCGAAAAGAGCACTTCAACGACTAGTACTAGAGAATACTAGAGTCTACGCTCACGCTTGCGACGCCATGTTTTTCCTCTTTTTCAACCCCTTAAACATACTCTAGTGTTGGTTGATTTTCGCCACGAGGTGTCGAAGGTATGAGTTTGGGTGCCAGAAAGACGTCAGGTTTGATAATGGTTCGGCTTGGTAGGAGGGTTTAGGGTGTAGGGAGTGACCCTTACATGTAGTGTTTGTTGAATCTGGCCACGAGGTGTGGAATGCATGCTTTATTGCTCATGCTTTACTATTCATGAGCATAACGATGATGGGTTTGGGTTTCCGATCGGCTTGGTAGGCATTGATAATGTCAGCATAATTCGTTGCCATCATTAGTCGTATGACTATCATCATGATTATCTTTGGGAGTATCATTGTAACCATTATCAACAGCATCACCTTTGTATCAACCAGCGAAATCATCATCTTCAGAGCCTCAACTGTCACCCTCGTTGGCATCATCATGCTTACCGGTTCCATTGCCCTTTTCGTCATCGTCGCCATCAACATCACCATGTTCGTCATTTGCCAGCAGCGTCACGATCAAAGTCGTCATCCTCATCAGTATGTACAGCATCCTAATCCCACTTGCCGTCAGCAGTTGCCCGCGTAGCAATCAGTTTGGTCATCCTATCATCATCCGCATCAGTTTCCTTTTCGTCATAGGGTTTCACCATATATTACCTTCCATCGCGATTTCAACCATCCTCGTGCTGGAAAGCATCGGTTCCAAAAGGATAGGTCCGGATAGGTGCCGACGAGATGGAACTTAGAGGAGGAAGCCGGACTAGACAAAGCTGGCGGTATATTCGAGTCAAGGGGAATGGTCAGCAAAGCAGGGAGGATTCAAGCTTTGCATGACCCGAAGCCGAAACTCACACGGTTTAGGGTTTAGGCTTGTGGTGGGTCCCTCTATGGAAAGGAGTTGGGAACACTCAAGTGCTTCTCTGGGCCCAGACAACGAGCAAGGGAATGTCTTGTCTCCTTTGCTGAAATCCTGATTTGCTAGGACTTTCTGGAGAATTCTATTTTTTCCGAGTTTCTGTCGAGTTATTCTTCTAGTTTTCCTTGCTTTAACCATGTTCCTTACTGTGGCTTGCCTTTTTCTAGCTTCTCCTAGATGTTCCTAGCTTTGTCTAGGCTTTCATAGCAAAGAGGGCCAATGGCGAAAGCTTTTCTTCGTGGAGAGTGAAACCTTGTACTAGTATTGAGGCAAGATTGATGGATGGAATTCTTTGGCCTGTTGAGCATTTCACTTCTTTTCATGGCTTGTTCATAGCTTTCTTCAGTTCTCCTAGCTTTCCTTATTTGTCAAAAAAAGCGGATGTTCCCGGGATGATCGCTCAGCTGGCAAATCCGTAATGTGTTGGCTTGCCAAGTTGGTTGGTTGTGTTGGGGTTTTCGCCTACCCTGACAGCCGTACCTGGGTGATAATGAGTCGTTGGAACCAGCGTTGCCTGCAGACCTTGCCAGGCTTGTCCGAGTGTGAGTGTCAAAAACATGTGTTGGCTTGGAAAACAGCTACGTTTTGGCTGCGCGACAGCACAATGTCACAAGGCTGAGCTCTGCGCATCAGTTACATCAACAGACTTTCTGTCAGTCCCGAGGTTGACCATCTTTCGACCTGCTGACAGCTCTTGTTTCGTAGTTCTTGATCCAAGGTTTGGCAGTAAAGCCTTGGCTGCTGGTGGAGCTCAGAGGAGAGCCCAAAGGCACGTCAGTGCAAACAACCTGCCTGACGTCAACAGTGCACATTCCAACCCATGTCAATGGGTCATCATCACTTCTCCCCTCTAGCATGCGACTTTGTGGCAAGCGCAGCGGCTACATCTTCTGCACTGATCTCGGACGTGTGTACCACCTGCGAGACGAGCCGCTTAGATTTGCACGGTGTTAACTAACGGGAAATCCAGAATAACGCGTTCAAGGCAAGTGAGCCTGCAATTGGACTGCTTGGCATGGATCTAAGGTCTATCATCTTGGCGGAGCATGTCTGGGTGTCCCCGGTGCATGATCCTGACGAGATGCAGCGTGTTGCCACTTTCACCTTCACGAACCCCGACAACTCAGCCCATGGAGTTCCGGTTGCAAGCAACCAACGCTTTTGCCTGGTCGGGATGCTGATGCGCTTCGAATACTTTCGAAAGATGTTCGAAGCGTGGTCAGAAAGGGCATCTGCAAAGGTTGACATGCTGGATACCGACGTGGCCACTTTCGACCACTTCATGCAGTATGCATATTGTGGCAGGATTTCAGATGACCTCAATCTTGCAATGTTGACCTGCTTGCTGCGCTTTGCAAACAAGTATCTGCTGCCAGACTTGGCTGCACGTTGCTTGTCTCCAGTTCTCTGCAGCTTGACCGAATGTGGGCCATGCATACTCGGCATACTCACAAGAGATCTTGAAGTCTTGAACCCTATCGGCTCGCCTTGAATCCCAGTCCCTTTTTCCGGCTGTAGCAGGCACTCTCGAAGATGCTCACTGCATGAAAAGGCAGAGCAGCGCCACGTTAGCGGAACTCCTCCTTCTCGCCGATGAGGCCGCTGTGGCATTCCCAACCCTCAAAGCGAAGGCAAGGGACACGCAAATCAGACCTCTGCCGTGATTGCTGCGGCTTTCGATACGGGATCCAAAAGCCTAAGCTATGAGTTTAGTCGAGGAGGCCGAAGTACATAGACCAGCCTTGCCGGTCATATCGCTACACAGGTGCATGTCGATCACTTCACTCTATGCCCAGGCAATGCATTCCATTCTCTGCTTTCGCGGTGACGTGTTGAAGGATGCCTCCTTCCTGGCTACGGTCACATCGAGAAGTTCGGCCATGCTCGCGCAGTTGCTGGCTCCTGTGGCTCCAAACCATAACTTCTGCCAACCGGAGATTCTTGCAAGCAAGCATGCATTCATTTGAACTCGACATGTTTTTGTTCCTGTCCGGTGACGGACGTTTGATGGAAGCATGCCTTCAAGGAGCTTAAGAATAATCCTCCAAGACTGCCTCTATGCCTTAAAGGCTCGTTTGGTATCGGGATCTTGCATACAGCCCATGCCTGAGTCTGGATAGTGCTGCCAAGCGTGAGTTGGGGGTTTCCGAAAATAGGGGACCCTAATATAGTACCCTAAATAATAGGATCCTTATTATAATTATAAGGACCCCAAAATACGGTACCCTAATTGTCCCTAACTCCTAAACCCTAAACCCCAAAATAAGGTACGAAACTCACAGTTCACAAGACCTAAGCTTCCAAAAACTGACTCTCAGGTTGGAGGGTTTAGGGTCTAGGGTTTAAGGCTTTTGGTTTTAGGGTTTAGGGTTTACTTTAGGGTTTAGGGTTTAGGGTCTACTTGAGGGTTTAGGGTTTCGGGCTGACTTCAGGGTTTAGGGTTTACTTTACCCTGAACCCTAGACATTCTGAACCATGATACATGGTCCTTAAATTTCCACGAGCACATGGAAAGGTGGACACAGGGTTCCTTTCGCTTCAGCTGGCTCCCCTTGGAAGCGTAGGGGTCGGAATGACTAGTAGTCACATCCTCTTATCCCCCCTAATTTTCTAACATTCTTCTATACCGAACATACCCCAAGACCGTATTCGAGTCATCAGGGATCCAATATACGAGTATCTTTACTGCGCCTGTGAGGAAGCGCAGAAGAAAGGCAGAGAAGGTGCAATGCGCCTCTTGGCTTCTCAGCCAGTAGCAACGTGTCGTTCTGAGTTAGGGTTTAGGGCAGTTTAGGATTTGCGGTTCAAACAAGGTTCGAGGTTTTAGATCGTTTTGTGTCTGACCAGTCCGACTCTTTAAGGGGAACGGGCCTTCTGCATGACCTACCTTTGGTTAGTAGGGAATGGAAGAATGGTAGTAATGGTACTTATAATAGTTCCCATTCCTCCATTCCCTACTAACCAAAGGTAAGATGAAGCATGATTCCAGGCGGCCTAAACTTCAGTCCTCTTCAGCAAGTATGTAATGACTCGACTGTCTAATACCTCTGTTACCCTAAACCCTAAACCCCTGAACCCTAAATTATAGCAAGGTGAGAGCCTAGGGTTCCTAGTCAAAGCAGGACGACGATAGCAAGGCGACGACGGAAGTCGGATTTTCAGCTTTTGACTCATCTCCCTGCGTCCCTGCATCTCTATTGCCTAGACCACTCACTCCCAAAAAAACTCCGAAACCCTCTGACCCTAACCCTTCACTAGTACCTACTGTCCCTGATCTCCCTGTCCAGCTGCCGAGTCTTTCCTGGCCGGTACACAAACAAGCCACGGGATCTCGTAGTCTGTCTGGATCCTCAGTGCAAACAAAAATCAGGACCCTAAACCCCTAACCCTAAACACATGACGCCCATCTGGTGTGCAATGCCATCTCCCTTTATCTCAAACATGTACAACAAAGTGCTGTCATCTAACTATCTATCTACCAACCTATCTGTATATCTATACTCATACTATGGTCAAACCAGCCAAGGAGCTGGATGCTCTTCTCCCCACTTGCCCCAGCTGGGGCGCAGCGTCTCTGACAGCTGAGGGCTTGGCCGGCAGTTGAGCATTGCTGCGCAAAAGAGCCTAAACCCTAAACCCACGTTTAGTAGGGTGTAGGGGTGGAGGAGCCTGAAGAACCGGTGGGAGTTGTTGGCTTCCCACCTTATGCTCAGCATAAGCCGAGGATCACCCATCTTCGAAATCTCTGTCTTAGGGTCTAATTAGGGTTTAGGGTTTAGGGCTCCGAGAATGAATTGCTTGTTTGCCATTCCTCCGGGGTTGGCACACACGATGCCAGAGTTGACATTCGCTGTTCACGGCGCAGACGAAAAGGAGCAGTCCAGGAGTAACGAACATCCAAGGAGATAGGAGCGTAGGCCAGCATGGGCTGATATTGCTGCCTCGATCCGGGCCGTGGAAAGCTGATCCCCAGCCCATCTGCATGACCAACCTTTTGGGCTTTAGGTTTTGGGAGACACTTCAGCGCTTTACCGCCTTGGTTGGCAGCAGTGATGACTAGTCTGCTGTTCCGCAGCTTTGTCCTTTGTCGGAAACGAGAGTTTTTCCAAGAGTGTGGACCTCTAACCGGATTTGTAGGATGATGGTGCCTTGCACCGTCATACTTGCGGGTCCCGCGCGTACGAATCGCATTCTGTCCGGCCTATAGTAAAACACATGTGTTCAACCGCATCTGATAGTTTGAAGCCGGAACCGTCCTTGCTGCAGAAGCTCTGTCGCTTGAGTCCGGAATCGTCTCCTTAGAGTTCTGTGACAGGCGGGAGGGAGAGTGAGAGATAAACTGCCCTAAGTGCCGGAGGGGACCCACGAAATCTTAGACCCGAAGGCCTGCCTCCCAGAATCCCAGAACCCCCCTCCTTAACCCCAACTCCATTTCTGCAAATCGACATCCCGCAGGATCACAATGCGGAGGTGTTCTCGCTGACCGGGCAACTACAGTGTCTTGGGGTGGGTTCGTTCACATGAACCACGCACCGTGCTACTTGGTGAGCGCCACACCGAGACAGACACAGGCTGCATACCGAAGACCGACCGCTCAGCCTGATCGTGTTGTTGACCGCTGATGTGTTACATCGCGCGTTCTGCAGTGACGGATTATGCCGTGGTATGTACTGTGGCTGCTGTGTAAGATTCTCCTTATCCCCTGCTAATTGGGTTGTGCCAACAAGAGCACACGGAATCTTTCGTTTACATGGTGTTGCAAACGACAAGTCGCAGTCAAACCCACTTGCCATTGCCCAAAGCACTGCCAAATTGCTTCGCAGGTCCATGTCTCTGCGTTTGCACCAACCTACACCCTACACCCTAAACCCTAAACCCCAAACCTAAACCTAAACCCTATAAACAACTTGGCTCCAAGGTTAAGGTTAAGCCCGAAGCCCTCGAACCCCGGAGTTGAAACTCGACAGCGAACAAGCTATTAACAGTGGAGCCTCCAAACCCTCACAGAGCCTAAAAGTTTTGAAGACAAGAAAACTAATCCAGAGTTTAGAGTTTGGGGAATCAAAAGAAACCTAAACAAACCCTGAATCGTAATCTTGGGCTCTTGGGTATCTGCCCTGCAGGTCTTGGCCATGGCAAAAGAAGATGCCGAGCCTTTGGTCAAATATGTCGTCGCCTGAATGATCACGGATAACCCGTATTATTCTGTAGGGTTCTTTATTATGAATATATTTAATATATACTATAATGTACCCTAAACGGAATGACTAGGTTTAGGTTATAGGGTTGCAGTTCAGCGTCTAGGGTTTCGGGTTTAGGATAACCATTTCGCGTGGTAGTCAGTTTAAGTTTCAGCGCAGCCATATCATGCAACACCCCAGCACCTTATTCCAATAAGCAACCTGCATGATGTACAGGTCGTTCTTTGTCGAACACGAGCTTTTGGATTTAACGGGGGGGTTCAGCAATCAAAGTTTGGGTAAGGTTAGGTTTTAGGAATTCGGATAGCCCAAACGCAATCGAATATGTATCCGGCCTGGTCAGGAATCCAATGGTTTTGGTCCCTTTCCAATGCGCTCAGGAGCGAGCCGCTGCCAATGCGGATGAAGTGGAGACTTGTCATGGGTTCAGGGTTCAGTCTGGATTGCCTGTCTGATTGTGATGGGATGTATTTCATACCTGGGTGCTGTTGTTGGGAATCTCAGAAAAACTGTTCCCGTGAGGCTTCTGAACTGGATTCCCTAAACCCTAAACCCCTAAAGCCTAAACCCAGAAATCGGTAACCCTTTTTCAGACCCCAGGTACTCGTAGCATGATCCTGGCGACACAACAGCATGAATGTTTTGAGGTCCAATGACGGCCACACGAGACCCATCTCAAGGCCAAAATCTAAGTGTTATAACGGTTTGAGATGTCCCGGAAGAGACGGTTTCAGGTTCATGGCTTGCGTCGCAGGCTCCAGACCCCCCCCCCCCCCAGAACTGGTGTTGGCACTATATCTGTCATGAACATTTACGGCAGATGTATAGTACATAGATCCCCGTAAGCCAAGGTCCATCTAGCTAAGCTCCCACGTAAGGCAGATTAGGGGTTTACCTGTTCGGGTCTAGTCGATGTCTCGGTACGCAGGGCCCGTTCTTCCCGCAGAATTATTAGTATATGTAAGCTCAAACCCTGAACGCCGAATATATGGGCCAAAACAGCTGCCAATGCTGTACTAGGGTTGCTTATTCGAATCATAGGTATATGGACCCCAGAACCCTATTCTAGTTATTAAGGCTCCTGTATGACTCCCACTTCATACCCAAACCCTGAGCCCTGCATCCTCCACATGAGGACTGCGTCGAGGCCTTTGTGCTCGATGACGATTTCGACTACGACAACTGAGCCTCTGCATGTTTGAAACGTTTTAGGGTTTAGGGTTGAGGATTTAGGGTTTAGGGTTTAGTTTAAAGCAAAAAGTCTTGCCAGTCTTCCGTTTTGGGGCAGATGGCTGAATCGTGTCTGATTGTTGCCAGTGTCACCCGGCGCATACGATTCAGTGTTACATGTTCATACGAGTGCTTCCATGCCGAGTTCTTGCAGGTGAGGCCTCCATGTGGTTTCTTTACTTCTCTCTGTCGTAGACTCTTACACAACACACAATCCCCGAACCCCGGGTGCCACCGAGAAAACCCTCTCTCTTCTCTCTCTCTCTCTC